GCTCAGAGCAAATTGATGTTTTGCTTTTCTGGAAACTGGGATTTGCCGATGCAAGGTGATAAATGCTGCCTGCGAATAACTGAAGTTACTGAGTGATTTCACTGTGGAACAGGGACATAATGTATCAGGACTTTTACCAGTAATACCTGCAGATTTAGCAACTCTCATTATTGATGTTTTGGGTTTGGGAAGAAATGCTCAGAAGCGAAGTGTTCTAGTGAAAATATTATTCTTTACAGCCTGTATCTTTCTTTGAAAAACTCTTCTGAGAAACCTGGTTGTGTTGTGTTTGCAGGGCTCTGTTCAAGCATGGTCTTTTAAGGACATCTTTTCTTGCTAATAGTGAAATACTGAATTTTGCAGAGGAGGTCATCAATCCTTGTAAATGAAAGGGGCTTTTAATGGCTGAGTGGGCAAAAGAGCTGGCTTTTTGTGTGTGTTGCTTTTTTTTTTTTCCCCTGTTACAGATAGCAGTGTTTATTATTCAGCCAACCAGAGAGCCTTTCTGCAGACATCATAACAAAAAGCCCTAATAATATTTTTAAAGCAGATTAGAAATAATCTTTCTGCATGACCTTGCCCAGGTGACCTCCTGATTTGTTGCTTTTTACTTGGGCCCTGCATCATCAAAGCAACATTTTGCTGTTTAATATGGTGTGTGTGTGCAGTGGCATTGTATCTTTATCTGTATTTCATCACTGGGGAGAGAAGGAAGGCAGTACAGTGCACCCTGCGCAGTCTGCCTGCTTTGTGTGAAGCAGGCTTGGAGAGCAATGTCACCCGGGTAATGATATGCTCAATGACATTGCAGTAGGCAGGAGCAAAAGAGAAAAATACAATACAGCAGATCTTAAAAACTTCCTTTAGTTTAATTTAATATGAACTCAATGAATAATTATTTAGTATGATTCCCTTGTTTACCAAGTAATTATAGCTTTAGAATCTATTTGGGTTAGCATTTAGCTTCTCTCCATCCAAGGGGATCATAATATTGATGGAATATGTATTAGCCTGTTCTTGTGAGCAAAAGTAATTAAAAATATATCTTTATTATTCTCGGTATGATAGTAACTTATAATAAATTTTGAAATGAGCTGTTCAAACAAAATATCCAAGTAATGTGCTTCTGTACCTTTGCATATAGAAAATTAAGTCAGACCTGCTTGGTTTTACAAGATTTTAATTAAATTAAGGGCTTCTAAAATGACATGAATTACAGAAGTGAAGCATGAGCAGTTTAGTATTGGCAAAAATGTCTTGACACCAAAATTTAAACAGTATAACACAAACATTAAAGTGGCCTTCAACAATGACTGAAGGATTAGAACTGTGGATATCAAGAATTAAAGGATTTTAAAGGAATAATCTTTCTGGTTTGATTATTACAAGCTAGTACTGATACATTTGACCTAAAGGAAAAGCTTTTTCCTTTAGCTATATACCATCTAATAGCTTTTATTGTTGTTCTCATTATAAAGATAGTGTCTGTATAGGAGTGCTTCAATGTTTGCTTTTTTTCTTATTTGGCTGTAGTAACACTAGGAGATAAAAACAGAAAAGTAATTATTATTCCAACTTAATCGTACAAGCATGCTTTTAATGTGCACACTTTCTAGATTTCAGTAGATGAAGATTTATATCCTAAAATGCTGATTGCTGTAAATCGTCTTTTGAGGCTTCAAACATGGTATGATACATAGAAAAAACAGAAAACTACTGAATTGTGTTCTAACTTACACTGTGAGTAACTGAACTGATAAGGTAGATTCATAGATATTCTTAGCTTTCTAATATCCTATAATATATGGAATCTTGAAGTTCCAAACCCGGCAGTACTTGTTTTACAATAATGTTTATATTAGGTTTTCTGAAGTGAAGTGCTTTATTACCCCACATCTGCTGCAGAAATCCAGGCTTGCTGCAGGAGACAACTCTAAGTAGAAATTTTAATGAAATGTTTTGATAGACTGGAAAAATACGCAGGGTCAGTTTGTGGCCATTAAAGCTGAACGGGAATTTGAGGCTTGTGTTACAACGCTGAGTGTTCTGAGGAAGGAGAGCGTGCGGTGTTCCTCACGTCAGGAGAAGCTGCCAAGTATTTTTCCAAATTCTATGGTACTCCTACAGGTTGTGTTTTGGTTTCTTTTTTTGCTTATTTTAAAAAAATAAAGGGGGGGATCACTAATATTGTTACTAGCTCTATGAAAGACTAATATTTAAAGGGACAGTGTTTTCTTGCATGAAGAACAGACTGATTTATAGGTATTCCTGGAGCACGTTGTATAGTCCTCATGTCTTGAAAAAAGAATGGGATATTGACAAATCATTTTAGTCTCTCATGTTTCTGTAGATAAGTTAATTTGTAAAGTCCTTGAAAGAGGATAAGAAATAAGTATGTGCTCCCAAGTATATGTTTAAAATGTCATCATTGATGGTTGTTGGTGCCTCCTTTCTGTATGTGGCCTTCCAAAAAAAACCATGAACTTGAATGTCAGGTGTTCTGCATTGTTCCCTAACAGTCAGGAGGTACACATACAAATAAATGGGGTTTTGAATGTAATCTAAGAGTGAGGACAATTTCAGTACAAAACTGATTCAGTGTCAACTTAATTTATTTGAAGTATGGATCAAGATAAAACCAGCTTGATCTTTCTTAGTTAGTCAGTTAGTTTTGACTGGTCATTAGCAAAAATGAATTTATCTTGCTTGGTCATTCATCAGATACAATGTTTTGAGTTTCCTGTAGTTTTATGTGATGTCAAACTCATGCATTTATAAGCATTTAATCAGGTCCCAACTGTGACCACAGGGCGGGAAGTTTGTGTTACATATAGGAAGTTGGGTGTTTTGGTTCAGCACACCATGTCTTGCTCAATGGATGGATGGCCTGATGCAGAAGTAGATTCAGTGGTGCCTTCAGACATGGGCATGTGCTGGCCAGGGCCATTGCCCAGTGTTAAAGAAATACATGCATCAGTTGGGTATCTGCTCAAGGCTGTGGAGGGCTGCAGAGATGGGTCTCCATCGAGGACGTGGATCCTCATGGAGCAGCTGATGGCCTGGGTGGTTGTTAGATTGAGGAAGTGATACGAATTGTTGCCATTGGTGAATTGCAGCCACTGTTGGCCTTTACTTTTAGCAGCCAGTCCATGCTCTTGCCAACAGTGACTGAAGTGCTGTAGTTGTTGAGTGGGTGCATAATCAAGGCTTTGTGTGGCTTTTCTTAATTTTGGAAAGAGCTTTTTTGTCTTGATTTTGTTTCCCATGAAGAGGGCTACTGTTGGGGGGCAGGGGAAACCCAAACAACCTCCATGTGAATGTCATCGGAAGTAACAACATAGTCATTGTTTCTAGTGAGGTAGCAGTTAAAGAATATCCTTAGGGGTTTTGTTTGTTTCTTTATTTTCTTTCCTCCTGTGGGGGGAGGTGGCAGACACATGGGCATTTAATTGTTATCATCTCTGATTATGCGCTACCAGAGAAGAGGAGTGCTCAGTAACTGTTTTGCTTATTTTGTGTCTTCCCCCCCACTGGCCCCCATAATGATATTCAGTCTATGAAGGGGTTGAAATATCAACCTCGTATCTGAAGACAAATTTACATTTCACTCCAAACACCATAATATAATGAAAGTTTTATGCTGTTGTGGGTACTTAATTATGCTAGAGGCAGAGCTGAAATTTAATATTGTTCTACATGCAGGGAAGATTTACTAGTAGCTTGTTTTCAAAAGTCCTCTAAAAGACTATTGCTTATGCAGTCTACTCTTGTTGATTTTTAAAGCAGATTGGAATAACCCAAACTTACAGAAATAAATTTCATTTTAATTGCTCAATGAAGATAATGTATGTTTCTTTAGTTTACAGGTTTTTGAGAAGGAGATATCCCGATTTGCTGGCTTTGCAGCAATGATCAATGCGATGTTTACTACCCTTAGCAGCTAAGCATGATGATATACATGTAAACCCGAGTAGTCATTCAGGACATGTAATGCTGTACACACTCATATATGAATCAAGGCAAGAATTCAAAAGCTATTATAGAGCACACTTGTTGGTATCTCCTGTAAACAGTTCTCTTGCACAGCAGAAACTTGCCTTTCAATCATGACCTACCGTGTTCCTCATGATAAATGGGAGTACACTCCCCTGAGACCTCGCTTTCTGAGGTTTGAGTCACAGGGAGTCTGTACAGCTCCAGGAATCGGGGAGGTAGGAGATGTGGCCACTGTGATGGGAGCTTTCTGAGAGACTGAGGCACCATGGAAATTTCCAGGAGTTAAGCAAGCGTGTGGTTGATATACAACTAGTAGGCAATCTATCCGATAACAATGAAGAACAATCACTAATTGCTTATTTCACTTCTGATATTAAATGAAGTTATCTTGAGGTATGTCTGGGGCCAGGGCAACTAGAATGTGTTAGAATATGGTACAAAGATGCAGATTAACTCTATACAGGACAGTAACGTGAAAATACAAGCTGGATCTTTAATAGTAAGCGTATTTAATAGTATGCTTTATTACTGACACATGGCCAACATAACTGTGAACTCAGTGAAACAAAATTTGACGTGATTAATGTCAGAAGCTAGTAATTTTATCTTAATTAAAGATAACAATTTCTGCTCCATGCATCAAGGTACTGCATGGGGTTCTTGCGAGTTTTTCTCTGCACGCATTGACTGCTGCTACTCTGTTAGCCAGATAGTGAGATGTTTTTTCTTTTTTTTCTCCTTTGTTCAGCTGGAGTTGATGAAACTGAGTATTTTTGCAGCTCAGACTTTTTCTAGTGAAGCCTTTAAAACAAAATCTGCTGCCATTTTTGGGGGCAGATTTTTATGTAAAGTTATTGTTTCATTTAAATATGTGTCAGTGGTAATTCCTTATCATTGAGAACCTAAATATGTCAGTTCCTGAGTCTTAGATGTCCGGTTTCTTGTCCTTGGGTAAGGGAATTAGTCTGAGTGACTTCAGCTGGGGAAACATCTGCTGTAGTTATGGGCTGATTGCTGGCTTTTGGCTAAGCTCAGCTCTAAATCATTCTGTAGTTAAAGGAATCCATTCTGGTTACTTAGAGCTGAAATCATTAAATGGGTGCCAAGTCATAGAGCAGGTTTTTTAAAAAGGTGAGAACTTTCTAGCGTTTTGTGTATGTTTTGTTATTATTGGAGCTATTTATATTTGGGTGATTTCTTGGTGGAAGGCATCTTTCAGCACAGCAGAACATGGTGTGAGTGTTTCTTAGATCAGTGAGAATCCCCCAGGTTTGTACAGCAAGAGAGGTGCCATTTTATTTGGGCTGAATGCCCCTTGCTTAAAAACATATTTACCTTTTTGCCTTCTACCAGCTGGGGAAGAAAATAAGTTCTCTACTAAATGTTTGGCTGTTGCTCCAAAACAGAAAGTATATGCTATGTGTTTCAATTAAAAGAAGCCCTGTAGCAAAATGTGTTAGTCACAGGCAGAGGCCAAGTGTATCATTATTCTGTAGGAACAGCAGTCAGGATAATGAACGGCTAAGGACAGTGGGCAATGGAAAGTGAAGCATGTCGTGTCAGTGCACTGTCAGTGGAGTCTGGGCATGCTTTGCATGAGAAAGTGCTATGAAATTGCAGGGCTGGGGCTGATCTGTGGAGGAAGAGTGGAAGGTTGCCTAATGGCATGTAGCAATTTTTAGAATGATTTAATGCTTTTGCCGTAATAACCAGAAGACTTAAGAAAACAGCTTTGGTGTTTAATTCTTTCTTTGCTTCGAGACAAACAGACGTTCTTCCTGGGCTTCGCGTGCATTTTATTTTGAAACAGACCAAATTAAAATCTAAAAGAGACTTAGTCTGGTATGCTTTCTTTTCCTATGAAGCATATCCCTTGTGTAAACAGCTTAGGTGAGAAGAATGTTATATTGGAGTTGGGACTTCAAAAATTACACTGGAGAAGTGGCAAATCTCAAAAACAATATTATGTACATGATCAGCCTCGTAAACAGCGAGCTCGGGATTCGGACTCTGTGCTGCAGCTGTTAGGCATCTTTCAGAAATGAGGAGTGCAGAGCCAGCACAGCACTGGTGGGAGAAGAAAAGGTACCAGCACGTAGAGTGGGCGTTGCACAGAGGAAGAGACTGGTGAGTGTGGAAGAAAGAAGGAGGGCGATCAACAGGTTGAAGGGTGAGAGTAGCTAAGTGCTTCTTTTGCAAGCTAGGAGGATGTGTTGTTTGCCAGCCATGAATATTGTCCGAAAACCTGGGAAAATATGGAAATTGAAGGGGAAAATAATAATATTATGTATTTTAACAGGTCACAGAAAGGTAGCTGAAAGTGCTGAAAGAATGCCTGTTTTAGAACTGTGATCTTATTTATTTTTAATATACTAATGTTATCATACAGACTGCTGGAGCACGCAGCATGTTTATCTGCTTGCCACTTGTCTAAAGTATCATACTCTTCAAAACAGGAGCAACATATTTCTCTTGAGTTTCTAACTGTTGTAAGAATGTGTTTGAGCGTTATTACAGCTTAAAACAGGAACAAAACAACTGCAAGATGTAATTTCTGCTCTGTTTAGGGGAAGCAGGAAGGAAAATAACTTTATCTACGTTTCCCTGCAGATGTTCCACTTGAATATAGAACGAAATGGTGCACAACAGATACTTATGAAAGTAGTATTTGATAGTGCCACCTATTGCTAGAAAAGCAGAACTAAACCGAGTATTTTTTTGTGTATATGTCAAATTTGAGCAGAAAAATGAATAGTACCTGTTCATCTTTTAATTATTTCAAGGTTATTTTAACTACATGGATTTAAGTTTGACGTTGATTTTATGGCTATGAAATGGGCTATATATTGTATATAAAATGGATTTATCATATAGTAGCATCAGAGGTAGTGTGGTAAGGTTCTGTTCCAGAAAGCTTGCAACTATGGGCATGTGGTTGAATGCCAGTGGCTGTATTTTGACTAAACTTATTAAGCCTGACTATTCTTGCCCCCCTCTTTTAATTGATGACATTCAAGTTGATGTAATACACTAGAAGATTGACCCTAATAATCTTAAAACCGGTTTACATTTAGGGAAACACTAGTTTTTTATTCTGCTTGAGTTTTATGTTAAATGTGAAGAAAATAAAACATTTCTGAACATACATGCAAGAATTCTATGAAAAGTAGCCGACTAATGATGAAAATTCTTTGGAGACAATGACTTAGTGATCTGGATGCATTTTAATACTTACTATCCTTTCTCAGGTCTTTCAGTTAGCAAGCATGAAAGCTGATTTCTCCACCTGCCCTTGGAAGGATGGTATTTGTTTTATCTTGTTTAACTAATGCTAATGGTAAGAATAATGAAAGATTTATAGGGGCAGCCTGAGATCAATTTTAAGTTTTTAATTGTGGTTCTTAGCATTACTGACCCTTCTTACTGCCTCCGTGCTGTTGTTTATCTCTACTAGGGAAGTCCTCTACCTTAAAAAAGATCCACATTTGTGGCTTGTGATCTTTAAGGGAAAGAAAACATGTCTTCTATGCATTATTTTCCTCATGAATGTTCTAATGGCAAGGTAAGAGCAGGAAAAGATGGAGTAGCCTGGGAGTAATTTGTTCTTTCTTACATCCTGACAGATATCTCACAGGAGTTTACTGCATAACTAATATTCTTTGGCTGAAGCTGTCCTCTTTCCTCAAAGATAGACGAGTCTTCTCTTACCCCTGCTGAGCTTCTGAAGAATTAGATGACTGCAAAGCTTAAGGGAATCAAAAGAAGCAGCTCTTGAGTATAAAGGCACCTGTAGATTTAGAGAAGGTTCAGAAGGAAAAAAAGAGGGATGACCTACTCATCTCCTGTCCGGAGAAATGGTGTGGAGGAATCTGACTTCATTATCCTAGTTAAGTTCAGGGCTGAAATCTAATTTTGCCAAATGGAAAGTCTTTATTGATTTAAACAAGCAAAAAAAAATTGTCTGCAAGTGATGTTTAACTTTCTTTTCTCCTTGCTGTGTCTTGGACCTGAATTTGAGGTCACTTGTATTCTTTGTCCCTTTCTCCATTGATCCAGGATATACTTTCTCTTCCAAAACCTGTTTTAACATCTTCTGTTTCCCTCTATATTTGTGTTTAGCCCCTCTGTCTTTCTCATTCTGAATGTTATGATAACCAAAAGCAGCATAAAGCCTTTAGCAACTACACTTTTGTAATGTAGAGGAGAGGAAAGATGTACCTGGTTAATGGTTTACATCATGGATGGATTTTATGTTCTTTCTCTTGAATCTCCGTGCTGAATCTCTTCTGTATTTTCTGTTCTGGTACATTTGATATTCTGCTTTGTGTTTGTACCCACCTGCTCTCGTGGTGTTCTTAGTATTGGTCCATCTATTTGTTTTTGTGGTCATTCATCTGCCTGTCATCTGTACAGAGAATTGGAGCACTTGATCAAAGCCAACAAAGTTTCAATTCTTGGTGCAAATTTTAAAACTATTATTTTCCCTAATGCAGATTCTTGTTGCCATAAAAAGGAAAACAGTTTTCAACAACTGGATTATATGTCTGTAGGTGTGTGTATGCCCTCTTCTAATGAACTTTCATGTTTAAAAGAAGTTAAATACAAAATGTATGAGCAAAGGCAGCTGAACCTTGTCCACCCGGGTGGGCAGTGGGGCTAGCAGAGAGCATTTCAGCTTGTAAAGAGAGTGGTGCTGGGGGTGCCTCTCACCTTGTTAGAAGTGGAAGAATGTTTCAAAAGTGTTAATGGGAATCCTTCAGACAAGGGATGTTTGCATTGTGATTGGTGCTTTGGTGGCATTGTCTTCATCAAACTGTGTGTCTGTGGCCAAACACCAGTGTTCCAGGGAAGAATTTGGGAACTGAAGGAGAAAAGGCTCCCCATCTATAGTTTAAGGTATGACTTTACTGAGACAAATGTTTTTGTTGTGATCTTGCATCATCTAAAATTGAACATAATAGCTCCTGTTAAAGCCACCCTTGAAAACATTTTTCCCCAAAGTGGGTGCTTCTGATATCTTTTCAGTTGTGATTTGATTTATTCTTTTCATTAAAAAGAAACTGAAATTGGAGAATGCTGCAACCTATTAATTGATTTTTGTGAATGATGATGTAAATGACTTAACACCAAATAGTAATCCATTTCCCCTTTCAATCCAGTGATCATATAGTTATCTTGTGTTAGAATGCTAACACATGATTATATCTGCCATTAATGCATTTAACAGTAGATGACAAATTTTATTAAGATAAGAAGGGCCTCATGCTCTTCTATGTGTCCCGGTGTAAATCCGGAGTTACTGCCTTGAATTGAAAAGATTTATTCTTGTGTAAAACTTACTGGTGTAAATTGCAAAAGTCAAGCCTGACATGTGGTGATGTACCAAATTATATTACAGGATATTTAAATTCTGTCTCCCACTGTGAACAGCAGGATACCATTTTTATCCTTCCTGTTGAATGCAGAATCACTTTTCCATTTATAAATTGAGCTTGAACAGCGCTCTCAATATTGGCTGTTCCTCTGTTACTCCACATACAGAATATATTAAGACACCTGTTCATCCTTGTAAGGGAAACAACAAACAAACCACAATACTTTCCTGTAAACAAATTGTGCTGTGATTAGTGGAACTAATGAAGCTTCACTGCCTGCAGCTTTGTGTCCTTCATCCCTGAGCCCCTCAGCAACCCTCCCACCAGAAGAATTACAAGTTTCTCTCTGCTCATATTCTCTATGATCTTCCCCTCGTCCTTATTGCCCTACAGCAATGCCAGTTCCTGTTTTCCTCCATCCTTTAAAGCTCCTGCTGTACCTTCCACAGGTTCCTCCTGTCCCCTCTAAATCTCAGCAACACTTGGGCCTGGCCCTGGGTGGCTGCGGTGCTCAGTGGCAGCTGGCCAGCCACCCAACACCTATTAGCCTCAGGTTCTTATTATCTCAGAGGTGATGCTAATTTGAGTCTCTTGTTTTACTGCCTGACAGATTTCCCCAGAGCTCAGGGGAATTGAATGCCTTCGAGACAACTGCCCGCTGTTAAATTTCATAGAAATGGATCAACATGAGAAGTGCCTTCATTTCCTCCTCCTCATTCCAGTGATAGGACTTTGTTAGACTAATTTTGCTTTGTTTTTGCAAAATGGCTTCTCTCTTTGTTTTGAAAATCAAGTGCAATAGTTACCACCCTTTTAGTGATATTCTTAACGGGATAGAAAGCAAGCACAAATCTGGAAAGGAGTGCTTAGCCCCTCATTATTTCTAAGGGCATCTAGGCAACTTCCATTAATAAACTTCTAGATCTTGCACTTGAGGACAGTAGAAAATGATTGCTTTCAAGCATATCAAAAAGAAAAGAGGAAGATGAATACTCAAAATCTTGAGCTTCAAAAAATAAAAAATAGCAGATTGCACAATTACAGCATATAAGAGATACTGAAGTGTGAATAATAATGGAATGTATAAGGCTGGAAGGAACTTCTGGAGTCCTGCCAGTTCCTCCTACTTACAGAGTCCCTTTGGAGTTCTAGCCTGGCTCCCTGCTCAAGTGGGGTCAACCAGAGCAGGTTGCTCAGGACTGTGTCCAGTTGGGCTTTGAACATCTCCACAGATGGAGACACCACAACCTCTCTGAGCAAGCTGTTCCTGTGTCTGATCACCTGCACTGGGAAGTAGTGTTGCACCAGAATGTCCTGTGTGTCTGTTTGTCCTGTCCTCTTGGTTACACCCTCCCTTCAGGTGAGTGTGCACATGGATGAGATCTCCCGAGCCCTCTCTTCACAGGCTGGGCAGTCTCAGCTCTCTCAGCCTCTCATCACACACTGTAATACACAGAAGCGTGTGTGATGTACAAGTGTCTCCTGAACATAATTTGACCAGCGTTGTATTCAGAGGCAAATGTCACAGAATAAAGATTCTCACTTGAGAGAGAACAGTTCTGAATAATAGCCTACATGTGAACATTTGCTTTGCTGGTAAAAAACAGGAAAAGGTGTAAAAATCTGAGAGCTGAGCAGCAGTATGTGAGTACAAAAGCTGGATGACAGTCTGTCCTCAAGATGGCTTCTTGGGATTCTTTGCAAGTAGCCTGATAATGTAGAAAGTATTGTATTTTATTATACACATTATTGTATAACCCCAGCAGACATTCAGACAGAATTTGTTAGCCATAGCTACCTAAGGAGCTGTGCTGGTACCTTTTATTTCTCTATGTTAGGAGTGGTTTGCTCACATCAGCAACATTTGTTTTGAATTCCTGAACACCAAGGTGCAACTCCTGGTATTCTTTTATAATCCAAGTACTTTTCAAACTATCTTCTTAAATTCTGTACTCTGAAATTTAGATACTAGTGATGTTTTCCAGAGGTTTACTACCTAAAAGTTGACCTGCCCAAGTATGTACAGATATTTAAGGTATATAAACACAATTTTCATTGTAGAGGGAAAACTATTCAAACTTCTTGCCTATTACTGTTTTAAGTTAGCAAAGCCAGGGCAATCAGCGTCTTTCTAAGCTTCACTTTATTCAGTGGCTATATATAGATTCACTGTCTTAGCTTTTAATACTTGAAAATCCTATCTAAGTCTGTTTATGCTCACTTAGGTGCTATCTAGTATTTGGTATCTGAATGCCAATACTCTCAATTGAGGCCTTTAAGTTCGTTTGTTGCATTGAGTCTTCCTGTGTTTTGTAAAAATGAAAGTATGTGCAATATTGGTTTATTCAATATGTATTTAATGAAAACATCTGCAAAAGTTAAAACTGTCCCATTTGCTCAGTACAGAGCACTGCTAATGGAATTAAGTGGGAGCAGGAGAATTGCACTGTGCTTAGCAAGATGGCTCTTTGCTTAGCCTCCCAGAGCCCAACTTCTATTTAGACTGTTCTGGTGTATATAAATATATTGAGCAGAAATGTTTTGCAAACCAATGAACCACTGTTAGTGAATCCTATGCTGGCAAAGAATGTATATGTGGCTCATTAGGGACTAATGAACAAATGAAATAATTTCTGTTAATGAGGGACTACTGATAAGTCAGAAGCATTTACAGACATGTATGTTTTATTGCTGTGTTGTATCCAGGTCCTGGCTCAAGCTCTAAGCTAAGGAGTGGACAGGTATTTTAAGAGGCAAGGAATAGGAATAATAAACAAATTTTGCATTAAAAAGGCAAATCTGTCTTTAAAATCTGTAAACGTAAGTTGGCTTTGGTCTTAGGATAAATACAGCCCTTACCTGAAAGGCAACGGGCGGCTTGTTTCTTCTTTCTCTGAATATTTGGTACTGCTTACTTTGAAATAATTTTGGAAGCAGCATTCAACACATATGCCAGATTTTTTGATCATTGTTTTGTTGTTTGGGCTTTCTTAATGAACTGTGAAGGCTCTTGCCTTTTCTACTTTCATACCTCAGAGATGATTGAGGTTGAAAAAATGTAATAAAATATTTTACAATTTGGAAATACTGTATTTTTATCTATATAGTTGTGTGCATCATTTTTTAAAGGTAATTAGGTAGGGGAAAAAAAAGAAAAAGACCTAATAAAAAGATGTGTGAATTTTTCTAAACTGCTTAATGAGGCCTAATATAAATCTGAATTTCAGATCACTTTAGAGTTGTCATATGCCCTAATTTCAAAAGGCAGTTCTGGCTTGCCACTCAGTTGGCCTTTTATTTTGTGGCACAAATTAAATAACCATGTGGTTTTATGTCACTGTTTTATTAGAGTATTCCTATACCACGGGATGGGGAAATTTCACTGCAGTAGCTTTGTTAGAACACAACTTGTATTTGGGGAAAAGGGGGAAATAAAGGCAATCTCAGGCCATGTTTAACTATATAAAATATGGATAAATACAGAGGAGTGAAAAAATCCTTCTAGTTTTCCACACTTCATGGAATCATAGAATAGTTTAGGTTGGAAAGGACCTTAAGATCATCCACTTGCAACCTCCTGCCATGGGCAGGGAAGAATACAGTCAGTGCAAAGAGCAGTTTATGCTCATTAGCAGCTATGTATCAGCATCAAGGTGCTACGTTGCTCTCCAACAGCCATTGCTGTTAATACATGACTAGTACTGTGTGCAGTACAGAATACATTGAGAGGTGAAACAGTTCCTGAAAATAGTGTTTGTGACACTTTGTAAAACAGAATGTCTGCTCTCTGTAATTGAAGAAAAAGTATCTACTAAAATCATGAAGTGACAAAATCTCATGTGATCTGTGCTGGTTTTTCTGAATCTGATGTTTGCTGAAGGGGGTTAACATCTCATAACACCTTTTTTCTTTACTTTGTTCTGTATTTTGATGCTGTGTCTCCAAGTCATACCAACTTGTGGGCCTAAATAAATAAGGTAATACACTGAGCTGACATTCTGGGGTTGGATTAATAGTTCAGGGATAGGTGAAAATATAACTTCTTGTCTTCATTTGCCAGTTCAAAAGGCATTATCACAATTAGCTGGTAGATATCAAGCCAAATAATTATTTTCTGTCTCTGTATAGAAGTAAAGAGATGCTAGAAAGGACACTAAGTAGAATATAGGCCATACGGGTTCAGATCGATGGCCATAGGTGGATGCCTGGGGACAGTAAAAGAGGCTGTTGTAATTGAAATGCCACTTACTCTTTCCTAGTCTTCCAGCCCTTGTGGTCCTGAGACTTCCTGAGCTGGATGTGGTCTTGGCTGCTGGGAAACCTCAGTGGGGTTCTCTTCCATGGATCTTTCATGCCTTTGCTTAAACGCTTGTAAACCTGTGGCCTCCTCAGCATTCTCCAGCAAATGTGCATTTGCTGTGTGAAGAGCCACCTTTTGTAAAGATAGGGGAAGAAAGAAAGGATAAATAAATAAATGTTTTGAACCTGACTACTGCTGGTTCTATCTGATGTCCCCTGGTTCTTGTACAGAAGGAGTCAGAAGGTCAGCATAGCATAACTCACAGCTTTCTCCGTGGTGTGCTTTCCACTGAGTGGTATAATTCCGACAAAGGGAAATATGTTAAATGTGCTGCACACTGTTAGTCGTATTGCCATTTTCAATGCTGTTGATGTGGTGGGACGACGAGGTGCTGTCCTGTGGCTCTGGGAAAGGAAAGCCTTCCTCCTGTCCACCCAGGTACAGGAAGGGAAGATGATCGCTGTTGCATTGCTCATTGTCTTCTGATCTGATCAAAGCACACTGGGAGTCTGACAATTTAATGTGAAGAGCTGTGAATCATGCTGCTATTCTTGTGGGGGTCTAGACAGTTTGTAGGAACGCATACCTCTCCAAGATTAGGTAAACGACGGAGGCATTCTTACCAGGCTTTCAAATGCAGGTGCCTTTAGCAACTCAGTTTTGCTGCTCGTCACATATAGAGAGGTGTGTGTATGCACATCCCTCTGAGAAAAAATGGCATATATATTTATACATGCACCTTGAATGAGAGAGAGTGAGACCCTCCTGGAGTTACTTTATTCATCCCTTTTAAAGAGACAATATACTGGTTATCTCTGTATGCATGTAAATAACTCTTATCCATAGATAGTGTTTGGAATTGCAAATACTATTGATTTTTCATAAAATACTCTTGGAATAGTACTTAATTTATTGGATTGTTAAGTTTTCATTATATCCAGACCAAATTGCGCTCATATTTCTAGTTGTGCCTGGTGATGGTGCTGTGAATGGTTGCAGAGTTTCCTTCCTCCCACTGAAAAAATGTTTCTCGACACTTGAAGCTTCTTCAGGTGCCTCTATATTATCAGCAGGTGCAGTGTAAAGATAGAAGAACTGCGGCTTTAATTGTGGGGTGTGTTGTGATTCAAGGCTGCAGATCCATTTTAGGTGTTGACCAGCCATAACTGCGTGCCAGCTGCTGCTCTTAACAGCACTAAATGGCTGAAAAAGACAGGTCTTCTCCCTACCCTGCTGATGCTCCCTTCGCTTCCTGTAGCCCCAGTTCCTTTCATCCTTAGGTGAGCTGTGTTTTGCCTAATAGGATTATCCATCTCTGCTGTTCCCTCTTCCCTCCCCTGATGTTTGCACCATGACCACCTTTGAAGATTTGCAGTACTTCTGGAAGTTTGTGATATTCTGGCATTTTCATTGTAAGTTTTATTCTTTTCTCCATCATTATTTCTTTTTTAATCCTTTTTAATTGGAAACTCTCAGTGTAAAGCAATTGCCGCTATAGTCTCATATTTATTTTCATGCTTACAAGTGAAGCTCCTGATTCATTTGCTCTGGTTATTATCTACTTGGCTGTTTATATCATTTTAATGAATCCCTTGGACTTGGTCGAGTCAAGACTGCTGGTTGTGATGCTTGTGTGTGCATGTATATGCATTAAGACTTTGCACCTTTTAGTAATTGCTCAGGTTTATGCTGTAGTTTGTACTCTACAGTGACACTGATTAATGTTTTGCTTACTTGAGCTGCTTAAAAAAGAAAAACTAACCCAAAACTAAATATCAAGAAATGAAGGTTTTCTTGTTGGTCAGACAGACTGAGGCTTCACACCTCACTGGCTGTGGTTGACACAGCCAGGAACTTGTTTCTTGCCGTCTCCTGCACAACACCAGGGTGGTTTTCATGAATCTTACTCAGGCTTTTTGTTTCTGCTTCCAGCTCCTTTTTTCTTCCTCTGGAGAAGCTAATGAATTCTTCACCATTGGCCTGCTCTTCACTCTCTAAATTATTGATACATGTTTTCTGTTTACCTGACACTTTTCAGTCCTTTGCTTTGTTGTATTTGCAAACAAGAAGTACTATTTGTAGACGTTAAATACACACTGTACCTGTTCTTGAAAAATTTAATAAACTTCCCTTTCAGATTTGACTTTTTAAATTCATAGGAAAATATTTGGTTTTCTCCTCTAGACTTTTGGGTCTCTTTCAGGTTCTTTCCCTGCAGTTTTAGCAGGGAAGAGGAAGAGGATAGAATCTTTGAAGTTTGCTGTCCAGGGATTTGTAGTCTACCTAAAGCACTGGTTTGTAGCTCTATATAGACCAGCGATAAAACACCCAGCAGTGGTGGTGAATGACTTTCTTTTTTTCGCTGGGCATATTTTTGCTTATCAGTGTCAGCTCTGCTGATTCTTGTGCTACAAGAGGCTTCTTCCCACAGGGATGGCACTACAGCAATTGTTTGTTAAGCACCAACTTTTACTGTTACTTCATTTTAGCATTTTCAATTTATTTGTGCAATCATGGTCTCCTTTGTGTTTTGGATGACCATATTGGTTCACTTCAGCTTCTGCATTCTTTCTCCCTGCTCTTCTCAATACATCTCTCAGTAGATATGTCACAAAGGCTGCTTTATTTTTCATTGTTCCGTTCTTATTTGGATGAAGGGTGCTGTGTCTCTGAACATGTAAGCAAAAGTACTTCTCCTGTGTGTTGTGGTTTGTATTCTGCTTTGATTCAGCTGTGATTTTCATTCACTGCCTCTTGCAAGCAGTGCAATTAGATTTTTGTTGTGATCTTTTCTGTTACTGTCAAGGACTGCATTCCCATTCTTGTTCACTTTGGCCAATATGTCTCTTAAAAATGTAGACTGCTGACTTCAACTGGTACGACTATTCATTAGAGGAAAAAAAGGATTGCTTTTTTAAGCCAGAATTTTGAAACTCTACCAATTATGAACCAGTCCAGAACTTACATACTTGAGAAATCTATAATTTCTTCTTTGTAACTTCTTTTTCTGTTCTACAGCTGTAATATATTGAAAAACTTGTGTTTACAATTTCATGGCTGTTAAAAGCTTCATTACTATTATTATTATTACTAATATTATTATTATGCATCACCCAAAATTCAGTTGATTTTCATTTACTAATCAACCACTCTTACATCTTTTGCTGGATAATAGGAAGAAGAAATCGTATTTTTTTTCTTTCAGGTTTGGGCTCAAGCTCACAAACCTAGTTTTCATTATATGTATCATTTTCAGGATGAGGAAAAACACATCTTGAAGTTTTACTCTCATATTTCAAGGGTGTTAATTTTTGATCAATATAATTTTCAGTGGTTGACCTGTATGTTAAGTATCAAATGTATACAAATTCTACATATTCTTTGTTGGTATATTTGGTCTTTTAGAAAGCATTAGTTTATATAAGCTTCTGGAGTATGATAAGGCTATATATTTAATATGAAGCTTGCATTGTACACATTCAAAGTGAGTGGACATAGAAGTACTAGATTTCTTCTTTTTTTTTTTATATGGTATGTATGAGCTTTACTTACAAGTAGACTCGCTGTAAGCACCCATTTGTCTTTATTGAAATATGGGTTATAGGAGAATGCAATTATTCAAGTAATGAAAAAAAACAAGAAGGGAGGGTGAGGAGGAAGTGTAAAGGACTCCATAGACAAAACTAAAACCCCTAACCTGAATTTGCCCTGGCCTTTGGGTGAAGTTGCACGGTGTTATCTTTTCCTCAGAACACCTGCTCTATGCAGTATTTTGATCATATGTTGTCGAAGGACAAATCAGTCTTGTGAAGCCAAGTATGGTGGTGGTAGCAGGTTCACTGGATTGTTGTTTGGTTTTGGGGGATTTTTGCTGCTGGGGTGAAGTCAATGAAACAGAGTTCGGGAGGGGAAGATCTTAAGTAAGTGGTCATGTGTGTTTTTTACACTGGAGTTCTGCCATCAGTCTTCAGCACCTGACCAGGACGTTCCCATGTGCCTATTCCTGGCCTGTGCATTCCGCCATCCCTGTGTGCTGTCATCACATACATGACGATACACTGAGACAGATTAAGGAAGTGATGGGGATTAAAACTGTGGTAGGAGGAGACAAAAGAAACAAGTATTTTGGTAAAGTGCCCGCTCAGGTTCATTGATTAACCAAATCGGCTCCAGTCCTGGCTCAGAGCGGGGGGGGGGATGTTGCAAAACTAGGAAGTCAGTTGCTGAGGTAAGGAAGGATGGAATTGCCTCTGGTAGCAATGTTGCCTCTTTTAGCCTGCACACAGAGATGACAACTGCTACTGATGTATTCACATCTGCAGTGTGATAGATACCTGTATTAAACAGACTGTGACATAGCCAGTAAATACTTGTTTCTTATATGGGAAACCTTATTGTATAAAGATGTTAATCATTCTCAGCTTACAGCTGAAGGCACCCAGAGCAGTCCTGCAGCTCACAATGTGATGTATAATGCTATATGCCATGGAAATTTGGCACGTGCTGTTAGTGGGGCAGTGCTTCAATCTTCCCATGCCAGGACAGCCCCTTCCATGGCAGCAGTGGCCTCTCAGGCGCGGTGAACATCAAGCAGTGAGTGCTGGAGCTGCAGTGCTGAGTCAGCAGAGCTGCCTGGCCTGGGGACAGCAGATTCAAGAGTGAGCAGGAAAACGTTTTAGGGACACTCGTGGGGTGAGTACCTTGTGCTAAATAACCCAGTGACTGAAAAAACCCAAAGATATTAATACTAGACTAGAACATGAAGTGTATATGGACCAGGACCAAATAGAAATTGCCTGTGTTATGTAGATTTTGCAGTTCCCTAGCCTTTATATGCTTGCAGCTGTGAAATTCCATTTCTGTCATTACTGTGTGTGCAATCCATAACTTTCATCTAAGCAACACAACTTGTTAATTAATCATTAACAAGGGCAAGACATGCAACAGCATGAGGTGTGCCAAAATCCTCTCTCAAAGTTTTTAACTGTCTGACTGCTTGTAGATACAATCACAGGAGTACTGGCAGATTACTCCATAAGAATCTTTCTATTAGAATGTAATCATAGAAGAGTTAGGGTTAGAAAGGAACTTAAAATCATTTAATTCCAACCCCCTTCACAGTAGACCATGTCACCCAAGGCTCTGGCCAACCTGGTATTGAACATTGCCAGGGATGGAGCATTTACCACTACTCTGGGAAACCTGTTCCAGTGCCTCACCACCCTCACAGTAAAGAACTTCTTCCTTATCTCTAACCTGAACTTCCCATTTCAGTTTGAACCCATCACCCCTTGTCCTATCACTACAGTCCCTAATGAAGAGTCCCTCCCCAGCATCCCTATAGGCCCCCTTCAGATACTGGAAGGCTGCTCTGAGGTCTCTATGCAGCCTTCTCTTCTCCAGGTTGAACAGCCCCAGCTTTCTCAGCCTATCTTCATACAGGAGGGGCTCCAGTCCCCTGATCATCCTCGTGGCCTCCTCTGGACTTGTTCCAACAGTTCCATGTCCTTTTTATGTTGAGGACACCAGAACTGCAAATCTTGCAGATCTGCAGATCCTGCAGCACACAGTAAATTTATGGATTTTTATCAATTACTCCAGTAAATTACTCAGAGTAATTTACAACCATTCTTTACATTTAATTAACCTTCTTTGTACTCTATGTTAGGTGCGCTGTTACTGTGGTTGGTATTAGCTGAGATTTGAATGGCAGCATAGATTGTGGCTGATGTACGGTATTTGTACAAATAGGTGCCCACTGGAAGGTTTACATCTCCACGGGTGCCTCATTCTCACTAGTGGTGAGAGGATTATGGAACTGTCCAGGCTCTGTGCTGTGGAATGTCCTGTAGTGGGGCCATTGCAGAGCTGCATCTGGCACCGGCCAGCCCCAGCCTGCCCTCAGCGAGGAGCGCTGCATCCCCCAGCCTGCACTGAGCGGCACTGGGGGCACCCTGTGCAATTAGCAACTTATCCTTTTTTATACTTTATTTTCAACGCAAACTTAATTCCCATTTCCTTTCTTCATTGATTAATTGACTGTGTGATGACAATTCTGTTGTTAACTTGCAGTAGTGCTGTGAAGCAAATAGATGCTTTCCCAACTACTAGAGAGGTGCTCCCCTGTTCCTCCTGCTGCCTTAGAAAATAATGACCTCCTCATTACATGCTGATGAACTAGAAGGGAGATGGAGCCTCTCAGACTTCAGAAATGCTTAGCATCAGTGACAGGCCAGGACATGGGGTGTGTCTTCTCTTTTGAGAATAGGGTACTCCATTTCTCTGCTGGTTGTGTGGTACCTGCTGGAATAACTTTTAAAGAATCTTGTAATATTATTTAGTGTAAGAGAGGCCTGAAAGGAGCAACTCCATTCTCTCTACTGCTTCTTTTCGTGCTCGGTTTTGTTTATTTGTAAATTCTGCTAGATGGATACAAATATTCCTCACCTGTCCCCTTCCAGAAAGACACATCAAGGTAAAAAACGATTTGTTAGAATTCAGAGACATTTTAGCTTGTCAGATTGCATTTTCAGCCTGTCTTGGTAACAAGTAGCTTGCTGAAAACCCCTATAATGAAACATGAAATTTTGGTTAATTAACTTACTACATGGATTTAGGGTTTTTCCTTGCTTTTACTCAGTTATAGCTCTACCATTCCACCTTTCCCTGCGCCTCTAACAACTATCTCTTCCTTGCAAATTGCTCCATGAGAAGACCTGATACCAGCAGCACAGTGAGAGCCAAGCAAGAGCCCGGGTGCCTGGCAGAGCTCCGAGGAGCCGTCGTGTCCTCGCCGGCTCAGTGCATGAGGGCTGACGGGTTCCTCCTTTGAGCACCCCGGCTGTTCTGTCCTTCAAACACTCCACTGTCGCTGAGAGGGGTTGCGTGTATGTTGCTGTTGGCTGGCAGCAGCCCATGGTCAGTTTAAAAGCCCCTATCAGATGGTCTTTCCTGAGGATTAGTGATGATCCTACGCATCCGGTTCCTGTTCTTCGCATGAGTCTGACTTGAGGTGGATTTTAGCTCTCGCAAATTACTTACTGCTCATTTTCCTGGTAGATTATCAGTGTTTGTGTCTCAGTGTAACCTGATGATGCTTTTATGAATGTTTCTGTTCCAAATTCAGCAGTTCCTGAAATAGTGATATACAAACAGGAAAGGTATAAAAGAATTAGCAATTATAAGCAAATACTGTAAATGGCACAAAATTACCAAGGCGGGAGGTATGTAATAGAAGTGTAATTTGCATTGAGGCATAGGTTGATAGGATTGCACAAAAGAAAGTAAGCATAATGGTGAAAATAAGGGGATTATGAAAGTAAAGGCTGCATTCCAACCCCTAATTAGTGAGGTTATCTGTATTTCGGCTTTTGCATTTGCAAATTAAAAGCACTGGGGTTTTTTTCCACATTGATTCATATTCTTAGAAGATCTTATGCCATGATTCTGGCCTTAAAGATTTTAGATGATACTAATGTACAATGTGTATTGAATTCTTTGTCTTATTTAAATAATTGATGCTTTATGGAAACCCACTGGCCTGAAATACAATTATGCCTATTCATTTTCAGGGAGATAGACCTCAGCAGTTAAGTAGTGCTAGTACTTCAAGCTTCTTTTTTAACCAAAAATAAATACCACTAATTTAATTTCAGTGAAAGCAATAGATAAAGCCGTAGTGTTAAATACTCCCAATGTTAATAGAAAATTGCTTAAAAGTTGCATGTGTAACAGTGGAAAAGCATTAGCTTGTCTTTATAGATTTTTGTATGTATTTATGAAATATCTGGCTCCAGTGTTGATGGTTTTGTCTGTTCGTACCTCCAGCCTGTGGTGATTCTGTATTTGTGACTGGGTGTGTATCAACTGTCCAAATTTCTTTGGCACCACGACCAACCACTTCTTCATTGTTATTGTTCAATTTCATAATGCAAGGTGAAACCTATGTTTCTTCCAAGTCATCTTGCAAGTAGTCTGTGGCTCTACCTGGATGGTTTCATTGACCAGGTGAAAAATAAATCAGTCACTGAGGCTGTGAATATTTAAGTAATTTTTATTTTTCCAAAAATACTTCTGAGGAGAATGAAAATTTTGAGGAAACTGTGGGAGCCGACAGGTAGTATAAAGTACTTATATTGCATATTGAGAAAGAAAAGAATAAATTGGCAGAGGAAGCAACACGTGGCCTGTGAAGTGGAGACATCTAAAAGTACTTGAAACTTTCCACAATGAAGATAACTCGAGGAAAAATGTCTTGATCAAGACATTTTGAGGGATACTGTGCAAGATTAGCATGTCTTTTCTTTGGGAATTGGGTAGAGGAGACATGGTCCATTCCTAGCTGGTAGTTTGAGCAGTGTAAAAATTAAATAACTAAGCAATCTCATTGCTTGAGTGCCTACATTCAGGGCAGGGAGGAGGGAAAATGAGAAGCAAAACAAAAAATGCATCTAGAGGATTATTTTCTTTTACATCATTAAGAGAGTAGAGCCTGTTGTCCCTCTGGTAGTTAAGAACTGAGAGATCAATACGAAAATACTGTTAAAAGTCTTTGCTTATTAATATCAGTATTTTGTAATTATTTCTGATTTTGTAGTTATTTTCCCTGAGAGTTATACTTCTTTTCTTCCTGGCAGATCCTTCTTGCTTTTCATTGCCCCAGCGTGTTAAGAATTCTCTCTCACCTGATGTGCTGAAGACACGAGGCATAATGACTGCGAAATAGAGCTTTGCGGACTGCCCCTTTTAGTGAGTAGTCACAACTTCAGTTTTGTGTGTTGTTTTGCTCCGAGGTGTGTTTATATCATTGACGGAAGTGCTTCCAACTAGGCTTGAGAAATGCCTAGAAAGATCTCTGCAGGAAAGTGTTTTTGTAGAGGAAAGCAATTTGCCTCAGCACTTTCCTTTGCAGAATCTGCTTCAGTCTTTTCCAGCCCAACTGAAACACATCAGAATGCTTTGATGAAAGAAATAAGCTTTTTTCATACCTGCCTGGATTTTCATTTGCTGGAGTTGTCCATCCCGACAAATTCAGGGTCAAATGCAGATGTTAGGAATTTAATGCTCCTGGCGTAAAAAAAAAAAAAATTCTTTCTTCACTCAAGTGTCCCTTTTATTCAGATTTTTAACCCAACAAAAACTATTTAGTCTATGTGAATGGCTGCATATCATGAGGTTGTAAATTTGCCAATCCTGTAACTTATGCTGTGCAAAGAAGAGATAAACAAAAAGAACCTTTCAAAGTATCTGGGGGTTTTTGTGGTGTCCCTAACTGCTGGACAGAATGCTCATAAGACACCCTATAATTTAATTAATGTTGTACATACACTGTGGGAACTCACGTAATTACATGCAGTGACGCACTTGTCCCAGTGTGTCTAAGTAAAAGAAATAGGCTATCTTGCTTAGGGTAGCTCAAGAGTGAAGGAAATAAAACCTTCAGGTGATCAATTCCCATTAAAATTTAAAACATTGTTTTATTTTCTTTCTAATTTTGAGCTTTTTATTCTCCTGGGGATTTTCATTTTAGCAAATACAATTTTTTTTTGGTACACCTGAGAATTCTTACTCAAGCCATTCATTTCAGTGGCGATATTTCTGAAGAAACTACTTCTTGATTGTGCCCCTTGTAAAACAGATTGTTTAACTGGAGTTGGTTTAATGTAACATTTTCAATTGCACCATGTGTCTTTCAGAGCATGGCAGAAATGTGTTTCTTAGATATGCCAAGCACCAAATTCCCAGCAAATTCTTTCACTCATGCTGAAAACATCAACACATTCTTCTGCATTGTTTGCTGTGGGTCAATTGGTTGTCACTGTTTATTTTCTACTAAACAATTATTTTCTGACTCCATGACTCTTTCTTCAGCTTTTAGAAAGAAATGGAGCATTTAGACAATTAAGATTTGTGCTCGCTACTTAAAGATTATTCTAAGTGCCTGAGTTTCAAACTTCAAAATGTACGTAGTGTAAGAAAATGAAAATGAGAAATCCAGAAATGCTTCAGTGTAAGTAATTCTTTATATTGGGAAAGAAAGTCTGGTGGGATTGTGAAGTTATTTTTTCATTTATTTTTATTATTTACAACTCTGAATTTCAGGATGGTTTTCTGCCAATTCTGTATAATTAGAAAAATGAAATAGGGCATTTCTGAAAATTGATTTTACTATTCTAAATGTATCTGCATACCCCATGTAAAATTGAATATGTTTGGTTTAAGGGATCTTCATAGACAGTCTTCAAATAGTTAAAGAAGTACCTCTCATACCAAATTCCTGGGGAGCAAACATTAAGTGATAAAAGATACTAGTTCATGAACTCTCACTTTTGCTCTGTACCTCAGCTGCAGTTTGTCAGGAAAAGGTTGCAGAAGTGGGTCCTCAGTGAAGATTTCAACACATCTGATAGCTCAATCTCAAAATCCCCTGCTGTAGTCTTGGTTTGTTCGGTTTTGCTGCCCATTGCTCATGAGGAAACCTGAATAACTCTGAGCTATCTCCCAAGGTCAGGCAGCAGCTCAGGAGCAAAGCTGAATGTGAAATTGTATTCATAATTTCCTGCAGCAGTTTGAGGTTGGGAACATGTCCATTTAAACCTTTCAAAATAGCGTTTGCATATTGAGTTTTTTACATTGTTCTGGAAAATACCAAGGCCAAGAAGGATTTTCACGTCCCGAGTTAAAACATTCCTTCCTACTGCTCCCCATTGTATGGCTGTGGGAGTTTGCTAGGCTTTCGTTGGAGTTGGGACACATGCTAGGACAAGAGAGCTTAATGCTGTGATGGTTGTGATGAGCAGAGCCTTCCTTCACTAGCACTAAAGTAGTTGCTTAAGAGGATTTCCACCAGTTCCTCCAGCTTAGAGAGGGGTCCTCACACCCCCAAGATGGAAGAACATAAGTACCACAAGATTGCACACAGTGTATTGCTGATACGGGGTTTTATTTGGGTTGCGTGGGGCGATGTTCTGTCCTTACATGGCACAATGAATTTTTCTTAGATGCATATTTGGGGTTGGGAATATGTCCTGGGTCTGGCCCTGGTGCTGTCGTAGGCTCTGGTGTTGACTTTCCAGTGTTGAACCAGTGCCATCTGTTCTTTATTTCCCTCATTTAGTTTGTGTTCCTGTGGATTTGCTGGTGTGATGAGGCGGTGCTGGTAACTTCTCAGTTACTTCCCTATTGTGCTTTTTTGCCCAGGCTCTGAGCACTGCCTGTTTCTGCCTTTTGGTTGGTTCTTTATATAGCTGACACAGGCTCACCATCAGTAGCCAGACAAATAGCGAGACTCATTTCCCTCCACTGTGTCCTTCGCCAGCATTTTCAGTGTTATTCAGAGGCCATTGCTGTGACGTTAGTGTTTCAGCATATTTATTAGGTTTGCTTTTTGTTTGGAGGTTTTATTTGTTTTCTTTTCAAAGGCTGCTATTGTCCCATCATAGTGGATCAAAGCCTTTATGAAGTAACTGCCTTCGAGAACAATCAAGTTCAACTTCTTGAACCAAACCCTCCTGGACTTATCTTCAAGGAAGGATTCAGCTTCTTAACTTTTATGTATCTTGACTGTAAATTCACTTCTGTGGGAGCGGGAAGAAGAAAAGCCTCTGAATCACATCTTTGGTGCTGCTTTTAGTCCTGGGTCTGGTGGATGCAAAGTGTTTTGTATTTTTAGGGCTGCCTCTCTTCATAAAAGAGCATATTCTGTATGGTTTGAAAACCCTCTGTAAACTTGCACTGGTATGAATAATCAAATCTACTTGAGAAATTTGCTGAAGTAGCCCTCTTCACTCTCGGGCTTGCATGCCTCTACCATATTTGATTTGTTAGTTTCCAGTGATTTGCAAAGGGAACAGAAGTATACAAATTAATGTGAGTTGTTCATGGATCTTCTCAGTGTCAGCATTCATCACCAATACTGATGCTCTGGTTTTGAGCCTAATGATCAAACACTTGTTTGCATGGTTTCTGCCAAATTCCAGGGCTACTTCTGCCAGTCACATACAACTTTGTATCCTGTAATATGTTTTGGCCACCTCCTGAGAGGTACTTTCAGTGAGAGTTAGCAGTAGTTTCTAGTGTTCTTGTGCTTATTGCTTTTTGTAATTGTTTAATTTTCTGGCTCCTTTCCCCTTTATAGCATAGCTCTGTGCTCAGTCTCCCCCTCTCCCAAACAGAACCCAAAAGCGAAACCAAACCACTAAAACATAACTCTCCTGTAAAACCTCCAAGCTCTGCTTCCATTGAATGGGTTCACTTCCATGAGATTGCATCCACACCTTGTTGTATCTTTTGAAGATGCAAGATACCATTTTGCTGGGATTGTAGTCAATAGATGTGAGGCAAAAGTCTATATTCTCTAAATATGTAGTCTTGTAAAAAATTTATTTTAAGTATGCTCTTATCCTTCCCTAAAGCAAACTATTTCTTTTCCATTGATTTTTTTTTTTTGTGTACTTGTGTTTTTGAATAATTGTGTTTTTTATTTCCTAAGCAGCAAACTCAAAATCAGTAGTTGATAAATAAAATATTTGCACTTGGAAATGGAACCACAAAACCAGTGTAACTTCTGCTATTGATTTTGTTCTGTGTTACTATTTTGGCAGCAAAGGCAAAACACCACCATTTGTAAGCATAAAACTTCCTTAGTAAATTACTTTAAATTATAAACTAACCAATAAATCAGTGTTGCTACGGTGTTGCTCTGGCATTCCTCTCACCCTTTGCCTGAAATCTGTATCCCAAATAAGAAACAATGCATCTGAAAATGGTTTTGATTATTTTTAAATTAATACAGTAAAATGGATGCTTCTTGGAATTATCAGCAATAGTTCAGCATGATGAAAGAGCTGATTAAAATGGATTGTTGTAATATGAATGATGGTTGCAGAAGTAGAATTAAGATGTTACCCATGCTTTTGCAAATTATTCTGTATCACCAATTACTTGTTTTACTAAATCATATTTTCAGGAAGAAGAGACGCTATTTAAATTTCTGGCTTTGTTATGGAGTTTTGTAGAATGTTAATGAGGTTCAGCCTATTTAGTTTTAGGAGCAGCTTTAAATTTTGCAGGACATTCACCCACACGCTGGCCTCAGCACTGTAAAAATACTTGTCAGGAGAGAAATTTATTTAGCAGCATTTCTTAAGACCCGAGATTTGATCTGAAGAAATAAATGAAACACTGTCATTTCTCAAGTCCTGCATGAATAGATGAGAAATTGAATCTTATTTGGGGTAAATTCAGGCCTCTCTCAGAGGAGAATGGAAGAGTATGGAAGATGAGAATAATTCACGCAGAACAGTAAGTCTGGGATGATTTAAAAAAAAAAAAGGAATACTGTATCTTAAAATATTTTTAGTGGACTCCAGATAGGAGTATTCAGCCTCAGAGGCTGTAATGAGAAAAAATAACTATAAAGATACAAGATTATCACTAAATGTCAAGTAAGAATGTATTGGCAAAGATAACTATATATTAAAATCCTGTATTTTTTACTAATTACTACGTAGCATACAAAGGTGAGTGTTGATAAGTAGGTGCTGATAGTTTTTGGTATTTCATAAGGATTCTCGTGGCGTTAGGTACAGATTTTACTAACAATGATCTGCATTCTGTGCCATGAAGTTGTATAATTCATATGTTTTTTCATACACGTCAGTGGGATATGAGCTTTGATATAAAAAAAGGGCTCTGTGGGGAAAAGAACAAAGCAAACCACATTTGAGCTATGACCTTTGATTTTTGTA